TCTAGAAATTACGAAACCTACTACCGAGGTATTTTCAGTCAAAGAAAAGCCTCAAACGACTCAGAATGATATAACCGACTTATGTCACACACTCACGCGTTATCTCAGTCTTCGTACCGACCGTAAGAGATCGCGCACACCACATAGAAGCATTTCTCGTAAGCGATCTGTCTCTAGACCACGAGAGACAGATAACCCCGACTGGTGCTGGTATCATAACCAGTATGGAAAGCTTTCCAGAAATTGCAGAAAACCCTGCAATTTCCCCAACACGAAACCGACTGATTCGGGAAACTTCCAAGCCGGCACGCGTTAACGGCAACCGTAGCCGGCGAACATAGCCGTCTGTTATACGTCACAGATGTGACAACGAGAGTTCGCTACCTCGTCGATACTGGCGCAGAAGTTAGCGTTCTCCCAGCGAATCCCAACGATCGGCTTCAAGAATCGGCTCTAAATTTACAGGCGGCAAACGGAAAACCGATCGCTACATATGGCAAAAGGTACGTTTACCTTAACGTGGGTTTACGCAAACCCATCCACTGGATTTTCGTTGTTGCAGATGTTTCTATGCCAATCATTGGTATGGACCTTCCACAACACCACAATCTGATCATCGACACTCGCAAACGGAGGCTAATAGACGGAAACACTAATTTGTCCGTTTGCGTAACTTCTTTTACTGGTTGCAGAGTATCCCCAGTCACAGTTAAACATATGATAGACCCACTCTATCAACCACTACTCGATAAATACCCTGGGATACAACAAACTCAACCGAAACTACCGTGTGTAACCAGCAATGTTACACATCACATCACGACTACAGGACCACCTGTATTCTCTAAAGCACGACGACTAGCTCCTGAAAAGCTAAGGTTAGCGAAAAACGAATTCGATCACATGATGGACTTAGGAATCATACGACCGTCAAGTAGCCCATATGCATCTCCGTTGCACATGGTCCCTAAAAAGGACAGCAACGATTGGCGTCCAACTGGTGACTATCGGCGATTGAACGCGAAAACCATTCCCGATCGTTACCCGTTGCCTCACATTCACGATTTGACAGCTACCTTGAAAGGTACAACTGTCTTTTCGAAAATCGACTTGGTTAAAGCGTATAACCAAATCCCTATGGCTACTGACGACATACCGAAAACAGCTATCATAACTCCTTTCGGACTCTATGAATTTTTGCGAATGCCTTTCGGTCTAAGGAATGCTGCTCAAACATTCCAAAGATTCATAGACGACGTTTTTCGAGGTCTCAACTCCGTACACGCGTATGTTGACGACTGTCTAATCGCAAGTCCGGACAGAGAAACACATCTCAAGCATCTGGATCTTGTTTTTGAACGACTTCAAAAACATGGCATAACTGTAAACGTTCAGAAATGCCAATTCGGAACCGACTTGTTAGACTTTCTGGGACACACTATCGATGCTCAAGGTATCCGACCCCTTAGAACCAAAGTGGCGGCCATTCTGGATTACCCAGAACCGACCACCGTCAAGCAATTACGCACGTTCAACGGCCTCGTAAGTTTCTATAGACTTTTCATACCCAAATGCGCATTACTTATGAAACCTCTGACCGACCAACTTCGTGGAAATGCGAAATCCATTAATTTGGATGACACCGCACGAAAAGCATTCTCCACAGTTAAGGAACTGGTTGCTAAAGCAACAATGCTCGCACATCAGAACACCCGAGCACCCATTAGCATCGCAGTAGACGCATCCGACTCGGCAATCGGAGGAGTCTTACAACAATGGGTTAACAACTCCTGGCAACCCTTGGCATTTTTCTCTAGAAGGTTGCTAGACACCGAATCGAGGTACAACACATTCGGTAGGGAACTCCTAGCTATTTATTGTGCTGTACGGCATTTCCAACACTACATCGAAGGTCGTGAATTCACTCTTTCCACGGACCATAAACCGCTCACTTTCTCGTTAAGCTCTCCTTCTGACAAGTACTCTCCCCGTGAGTCTCGACAACTGGACTACATTTCGCAGTTTACTTCAGACATTCAACACATCTCTGGAGCAAACAATGTAGTTGCAGACGCTTTATCTCGTATAACTTCCTTGAACAGTTTCCAAGGAATCGACCTTCTTAAACTCGCCCAGCTTCAAAAAGAAGACAGTGATCTTCAGCACGAGTTATCGTCCACAACACTTAAACTACGCATCAAACAGATGGGAACAGGTAAGGAAACCTTACTTTGTGACACATCTACAGGTAGGGATCGCCCAATCGTGCCGAAACATTATCGACGCAATGTCTTCAACACATTGCACAAACTTTCGCATCCAGGTGTTCGTGCAACCATCAAGCTTATAGCAGAACGGTTTTGCTGGCCTGGCATGAATAAAGACGTGAGGGAGTGGGCACGCTCCTGTGTAAGCTGCCAAAAATCTAAGGTTATCAGACACAATAAATGTCCCTTAGGCTCGTTTAAAACTCCCGATGCTCGTTTCGACCATGTTCATCTGGATTTGGTAGGACCTTTACCAGATTCAAATGGATACTCTTATCTCTTAACCTGCGTAGACCGTTTCACTCGATGGCCAGAAGCAGTACCTATCAAGGACATCACTGCTGAAACAGTGGCCCGCACCTTCGTCGAACGATGGGTGGCAAACTTCGGTTGCCCTTCAACCATCACTACAGACCACGGACGTCAATTTGAATCTGATCTTTTCCGTCGTCTGACCACTCTTTTAGGAAGCACTCGCTTCCGAACGACCGCCTACCATCCACAAGCAAACGGGTTGGTAGAACGTTTTCACCGACAACTGAAAGCTTCGCTATCAGCTGCAAACGTTTCACAGCGGAGCGACGCTCTTCCACTTGTCTTACTAGGTATCCGCGATGCAGTGAAAGCTGACATTGGATACACTGCGGCTCAACTCGTTTATGGAACGACACTTCGACTTCCAGGAGAATTCGTGGATCCTTCATCCTCTTCAATGAACATGGATCTAACCTCCTACACGAACAGGCTTACAAACGCAATGCGTTCAGTTAAACCTGCTTCCACTCGACCTCAATCAACTGATGTTTTCGTTCAACCTGACTTACGATATAGTACACACGTTTTCGTTCGTCGAGACTCGCATCGACGACCATTCGAATCAGCATACGAAGGACCCTTCAAAGTTCTTCAACGTGAATCTAAGTACTATATAGTCGATAAGAACGGAACCAACGATAGCATCAGCATCGATCGCTTAAAAGCAGCGTATTTAGAAGGAAATCCTATCTACGTGGATTTTCCTTCGGTACAATCGAACGACACGACTCCGACACTTATAATACCTCATCCGACAACCAACACACACGATGATACTTCGACAGTATCCGAAAATAAACTTAAAACGACGCGTTCTGGAAGAAGGGTGAGATTTCCAGAACATTTAAACGACTATTGCACGTAAGGCACTTCTCGACATTTTATATTATTTTTTTTTAAAAAAAACAATTTTAATATGCTTATATATTTTTATTTCTATTTAAAAAAAACAAAACAAAAAAACAATTTTTTTAACGCTATTACGTGTTCATGAGTTTATTTTCCATTTTTTTTCCGCCGACATTGCGTTTTTACGCACATACGAGTGTATTTCGACATGCACTTACATTTTCTTTTTTCTTTTCCAGGACGGCTGGAAAAGAACGATGACGTTTATGAGGATCCGAAATTTTCATTGTACATTTTCTTTTTTTACTGTTGTACCTCCGTCCCATATAGTAAGGAAAGACGACCAGACGCTGCTAAATTTAGTAAGCTATCAGAAGAGTGTTTACCAACGACAAACTCGTTGGGTTCAAACTTCTGGCTGGCCACGTCTTAGGGTCGTCACTGCCCCACTAGGGGGGGGTGATCTGTAGCGGTAAATAAATCCCTAAAATAAATGCTCTGTAAGTTTTCGACATTGGATGCTGACCATATGTTTTAGTGGACTCATCTAGCTGAAGGCGCTCGGTCAGGCATCCGCACCAGATCACGTGTGGTAACGCCGTGCTCAACGTCAACCGCAATCGCTAGCCAGGTTAGATCAGAGAATTCCGATATATTGGTCATCGCCAAATATACTCTTCCGATCTCCTCGACTCTGTCTTTTGATTTCTCTGGGCGGGAACGAAATATATTAGGTGTTACTGGTAGAAGCGTTGTCAAACACTGAATACCTGTGACATCATCAACCTTATAGCCTTTTGCAGGAGCAACCTTACAATTACTAGTAGTTTTGAGATCATTGTTCATAATGACTCCTAAATCGTTAGTTTCTTAATCTGAGTAACGCGAATCCACATATTGTGTGGTATTACGACTCGTCGCAGTTGTTTAATTGCCCAAGACAGGGTTGGATGGCGAATGCTGGTGAGAGGCCTGTGCTCCTTCACGAGGAGTAACAGGCGTAAGTAAGTAAGTGTTAGAGAATATCGCGTCAAAATTGGTCTGCGATCGCATCAGCTGGAAGGACGTTGGATATACGAGCAGTTTCACTTGAGCGTGTTCATTGTGTGTGAATAAAATAAGTGAAGGGCCTTTCTAAGCCCCCTTTACGATGAGCGCTTAAAATATCTAACCATTTTCCCTTGTCGTATCGTAGGACGCGGGGTGACCTTATACTGGCATCTCGTATTTTAAATTAGGATTTGGGTGTTATTATGTCCTATTTTTTCGCTTCCCCCAGCATTTATAATCTCTGAGGTCATAGCGAGAAGGTTCACAAACCACGATCTAATAAACTTAGAGTGAGGTTCCGTTTTTCACATCGAGTGGTCGATGACTGGAAAGCCTTATTCGAACAAGTGGCAGCAGCCCATCAGTGAATATTTTCGAGGAGGAGATGGACCCTAACTGGAAGACAAGATCTTCAGGATTAATACAGGTCCACTAACCTACTATCTTTTTACAAATCACTGAAGTCTGGAGTTACAGGCGGAGGGTATTTGTTCTCAAGGTCACTCGGCCAGATTGTCCATGTGGTTGTCATGTAAATTCCTTGATTATTTAATGGTTTGATTTTCGTTTGGAGTTTGTGGAATTTCACACCTTATATGCAGATGCAACTAGATCTGCCTGTTGCTAACTTTATTTTTCCAAGGAAGGCGCGTTTCCTCATTATTTTCCAAGTCTTTTTCCACTTCATTTCCTCTTCGTTCGCCTTCATTACCCCTTTTTTGGTTGATTTGGCTCCCCAAAGTTTCTAGTGGGTCTTCGAAACTTCTGTAGAGATTAAGATAGTTATCAGCTTTCTGTTTCTAATCCATAATGTGTACTCACACTGGTCAAATATAACGACTTCAGTTTGCTGAAGTCGTTATATCCTTATAAGGAAATCCACTTGCTCATTAAGTGTATCATGAATCAACAGTCCACAACACGTAAAATCCAATAATGTCTGACAGGTAAAACACTGTGAAAGACATGTTAGTTTTTTTGACATAAGTGATTTTATTGAAAGACATGCGTGGTTAGTGACATTAGTATTCTAAGTACATGAGTAGGTCGTTGGTTGCACCATAAAGCTTCTGCACTTTGCAGCCACTACCACTAATACCAGCATACACTGCTCAAACTGGTGAACTTAAATGTATGTTCAAGAATCCGACCCTCTTAATGAGGGTCTAATACTTAATCCTCGTGAATAATACTTGTGTACTGTACATTTTAGGACCATTGCTACTGTTCTGGTCTACCAAAGTTTTCGACTGAATTAGATATTCGGATAACTAAGATTCTAGCTATTTGGCTGAATACTCACCGTATGCTGTTTAAACCATTCGTAAAATTCAATAATTACCGAAAAAGCTCTTATTCATTCTTATTGACTTCAGCTTCTGAACCTAGTCTGTGGTGCCTCATAAATCTTACTTTATCGAAACCCAGAATAAATTTTGAACCTTTCTAATTCACTACAAAATGGTCAGTTAATATTATCTCATGGAGCTAAGTGTTTTCAAAGGTTTTTAAATAAAATTTCATGCCTAGAAAGGCTGAATAATAATCATTTAAAAGCAAGCTACACGCAGATAACGTTGTTGCATTCGATTATTAATATTCAACAGTCTAAACTATTCTATCAGGCTATTTTAATGAAGACTGAACAAACTTTGTGTGATTAGACTGGCATCATAACTAAGTCAGTAGAGAATTGAAAACTACATAATGACCATCTAGTTCTTTAGATTAAGCGTCGTTTCGTTTTTGTGGGCGTATGTACAGAGTATTTAAGAAAGATGTCTTCCTGTTCCTATTATAAAGCACTACTTTAAGCAATTAACTTGTTTTTCATTCAGAATGCAATAGGGATTGGTGTCATATGTTGGCTGGTTATTCACAGATGTCTGAATTGTAATGATCGTGCAAAGGTATGTTTCAATAAGTAGCATTATCTTCTACCGGTGGATACGGAGGATCCACCTAGGGGAGTTGGAAAACCCTCATTTCAAACCAATGGTGCATATCGGCTCCAATATCCTGAAGGAACAAGTGGCATATGAACCAATCGTTGTTCACGGGCTACCATGGGACTGCATCACTCAAAGTTGCTCCACTACCTTGTGGATTAGACCCTTAGGTCGAAGACTCGGGGTGCGGCCCCCTAAGAAAACCCCCTGTTTCGGTTTGGGCACCCAGGCAGTATCACAGCCCTCACACAAATTGAGTGGTTTATGTGATGCATATCTATTTGGTGCCTCCTTGTACCAATGTTTGTGTGTTTAAATAAATAAATGATTTTTATTATGTCTTTTAGACATGCATTATGTCGTAGAGATTCAATACAAATAGTCGTTTGTGACGATTAGATTCTAGTGAAATTTATGATGCTTTTATATCTAATTTTTACTTTACAACTTGTTTTGTATTTCACTTAATATTTTGTTTCCAAATCTTTTTTAAAATAAACTAGTTCGCTACTTTCAGGCGTTTATGTCGCACTAGCTGTCAGTTCAGTTCATTTCAATTCGTAGCATGAAAAACGATTTGAGTATTTTTTACACGGAAGCTGCTTATTTAGTTTGTCTAGTCAAGGGACAAGTTTGTCGATTGAAAACTGGTTTGTATACTAATAAATTTACAAGCGTAAGTCTTTAAACAGCCTACAGTTTTCTGTTTTCCCCTTCTTCCCCGACGAATTTCAGATAATCTTTTTACGCATGTTTTACTCATTCAATATTATCATTTGAAGTACTCTAGTTACACAGTAAATTCTATCTTTTTGGAAGTGTAATATTGATAAGAAACGTTTAACTACGAATTAGAGTCACAAAAGTCAGTCGGTCAGTTACAACGTAGGAACAGGCACATTTATGCATCTGTCAAAGTTGCTACACCTCCTTAGCACAATAAGATGAACACCAAATTCATAAAAGTAGTTACTTTAATGGTAGTAATGTATAGAAGAATGATTGTTTATAAGTATATGATACAGGGAAGAAGCATTGATTTATAGAAATATATATATATATATATATATATATATATATATATATAGTAATTTTAATCCCATGGTTTTAAAGAAGACAGAGTGTATACACCGACGCCATTGTGATTGATTCTGAGCCATGTTACCCAGAGTCTCCAACCATTGGTTACGATAGTCACGCGGACCCCAACCAAGTAGTTTGCATCTACCAACATGGCTCAAACCAGAAGGTAGTGACTTTGTGGACTGATGTCACGTTTTGGTTTGACCACCCCTAACTTTTTTCCAACCGTCTCCAACACTAATCATCAGTTTTACAAGAATCTCATCCGTCTAATACTGAAATAGGATTACTTTACAATTAAACGATATGTTAAATACGAGAAAATGTGTACTAAACTTGCCACTAAATAACGGACTATTACGTTTGTCGGCCCACTGTGTACTTCGAATTCATTCTATCGTTTAACTGGGTATCAACAACTGTATGTAATGTGTTCTTGAAATTTTTCTTTTAAATGTAATGTATAAAGAGAAATGCCAGGCCCAACTTGTCGTATTAGTGATCATAATCTCTTTATGTATACTGAGATTTAATTGTTTACCACTTCACTGGAGTGCTTTATCACCTTTAATACATAAGGTGACTGATATCTTCATCTTTTCACTTTTCCATAGACAAGCAAAACTAATTACACCAACCTTTCACTGTCACTTTGCATTTATAACTATGACATTTATACCATAGGATTTTACAGTATTCAGGTCACTCTTCGGTATCACATTTATGCTTCATCAAAGAAACGTCAACTTTACCAAAGAAGGCTTCATCTTAGTATAGTCAATACATATATTCAGTCGAAACCTTATTTAAACTTCACATACCAGAGTTCACTGAGTGCCAAGTGACAAATTATCGAGTGCCTTGTGGTTGTACATATCTAACACCTTTATACTATTAGCATATACTCTCACCACAAACGAGTTGTTTAACTTTTAATCTCGCACTAGCCTTTCACCAATAAGTCCAAATAGATATCACTGCTAACTACTATCTTGTGATTGAAGTGAATGTTGTCGTGTACTAATTGTTGTAGTATACTGAGATGAAAACTTTAAATTCCTTCATAAAAGTTGATCGATCTAGTTTGCTGATCATATTGGTTATTTAAATAAGGCATTCTGATCTGCAAAGTCAAATGGAATCTTATAATTAGATAATATGACCAAAGTGAAAAATTTTCCAAAAAATGCTTTGATGTTTCTTGAAAGTCCACCTGGGTTTAGTGCTTTACCTTGATGTAATTCAATAACAGGATTTTCAATTTCTGTAAATGTTATTTGGCTTATACTGATAACCTCTAAGTCTATGAACTAACAGTAGACATGTGAATCATCATTTCTAATTACTTTTTACTTCTCGAGTTCGCACATTTTGTAAGTGGTTCTATATAATCAGTGATGATTGTAATTCCTATTAAATATGTAAATCATTTGCCAAGCGCTGGTATATGTATTTAATTTTAATCGATTTTGTTTGCATGTTAGGATTAGTGATAGTACTTGACTGCTAAACGAAAGTAGTTAGAGCGGAGTCATTATATATGTGTATAAAGCTTACCTATTATCATGTAAAGTTTTCAGACTATAATGATGTCGGCAGTCTTTTATGTTAGGCAGGTATCAACAGCTTCAGCGTGGTTACAGTCCTCGAAAATTTTATGTTTATTTATTTATTTAAACATAAACATTGGCACAAGGAGGCACCAAATAGATATGCATCACATAAACCATTCAATTTGTGTGAGGGCTGTGATACTGCCTGGGTGCCCAAACCGAAACAGGTGGTTTTCTTAAGGGGCCGCACCCCGAGTCTTCGACCTAAGGGTCTAATCCACAAGGTAGTGGAGCAACTTTGAGTGATGCAGTCCCATGGTAGCCCGTGAACAACGATTGGTTCATATGCCACTTGTTCCTTCAGGATATTGGAGCCGATATGCACCATTGGTTTGAAATGAGGGTTTTCCAACTCCCCTAAGTGAACTCTCCGTGTCCATCAACCCATTTAAAGCGCCTGATTTTCGCTTTTCGTCCTCTCAACTTCGTAAACAGCACCCGTGGTGAGATAATGGAGTGAGTGGGACTTTCCTATCAGTGGCCATGTGATGAGAGCATTTGGTGAAGGAGAGCGGACTCTTCCTACTCTCGGCGATGCCAGGGTATTTGGGGCCCAAAATGTTGTCACATAGTTTCAGTGAATATTGTCTACCTTTTTTTTGTAAAGACATCATAAATTTGTCTTCTATTTTTATTCATATTAATAAGCTACTTTTGTACTTTTCTAGAATTTACGAAAAATCTATGCATTAGCATCAAAAACTCTTAGTTCCTATGGTATATTACTTCAAACTCTTAAAAAAGCCAATCTTCAACCAACAACTAAAATTATCCATTTATCTTCAAAAAACAATCCTAACAATAATAATGATAATGATGTACATGCTTGTGTTCATTGTTATTTGATTGTTTTAATTCATGATTTATTAAAAGAAAAGAAAATATGTCATCATTATCTACTTTCACAAATTCATGAATTAACTAAAGATTCTTTAGCTGTAAAAAAACTTCGTCATGCTTATCAATCAGTTGATAAATCATTCAAATCACAAACTGAAAATCAAAGACAAAATAAAGGTTTGTCATCAATATTTACTCTTTTTTAACATTGAACTTCATTTGTAGTCAACTATGTATTCAATGTTGTTTTTTAGATACTGTCAATCTGAATTGTTAACATTCAATCAATTAATGATGAGTTTTAATTTCGTTTGACTAATTACAGTTTAGATAGTTGTGCATTACCATTCAGTCAGTCAGTCAGTAACAACGTAGAATCTCGTACGTACGTATATCAGTTCAAGTTGCTATACCACAATTAGCACAGAGATGCAGTGGTCGATTCAAATCCCGTAGTGGTAGAGATAGTAAAAGTATAAGCAGTAATCGGAAACATTAGAGCTTGAAGATACAGCGAAATAAATTTGGAAAGAAAATAAGGGACATGAAGAATTCAGAAGATTAGAATTAGGGAGAACACAAAGAGTGGATGCACTTGCGCCATTCCAAACGATTTTGAGCCATGTCATTCAGGGTCTCTAACCATGGGTTGCTATCATCTCGCGGATCCCGACCAGGTAGTCTATACCTACCAACATGGCTCAGTCCACTTGTCAGTGACTTCATAGACTTGTGCCATGTTTTGGTCTGGCCGCCCCTAGCTTTCTTCCAACCTACTCCTATACCACTGAACATAGCACGTCGAGGCAGTCGGTCGTTGGGCATACGTAACACGTGCCCATGCATTACAATTAGCATACTTCAAACGAAAAATCTTTATATTCAATGCTCAAGTAAAAGCTTTGGTTGCTTTGCTGTTGCCTCTTGAAGGTATATCGCATATTAATTTTGTTTAAAAGTTTGACGCCCCTAGGTAAAATAAGTGTTTCGTCCCTCAAGAACTCGATAAATCATTCCGAAGAGAGCATGTACCTGTTAAGTAACCATTTGTTTATACACAAAAGTATTATTAGCTTAGGCAATTGGATAGTATAGAGGTAGCTTTCCGATAGAGTTTCGTTTTCTGAGCTGGTTGGGTTAGTTGTGGAGCTTTCATTGCTTTTTTGAATATCGCCAGTGCAAACTTCAGGTAGAAATGGAGCGAAGTGTCTGGATTTCTCCACATATGACTTACAGCTTGTCCTGTCCAGTGCGATCTTGATTGATTGTTGTTGTCATCGTCCGCTTATTTATTGTGATTGGATCGCCTTTTGATCTGATTCTTGATCCTATATTTGTCCATGGTTTTTCTGATTGGTTGATAAACTGGATCGATTTTGATGTGTTTGTTGATTTCTGATTGACCTAAGGGCTAAGCTTCTAAAAATTCTCTGATGTATTTAGTATTTCCTCTATCCAAGAAATTATTCTAATCGAATGTGTGTCCAAAATTGTCCACATGTATTCATGTAAGCGAAGATATGTCATGGCGTTCGATCGCTAATTGATGTTCATTCAGGTGAAGATGAAAGGAGTGTCCACTTTGTTCTATGTGGTGTTTTTCGTAGTTGGAACAGCTCATTTTGCAGATGATGTTCTATTTTTCCTTGTTTGCTATTTTATCCTTTGGTTTGCATAAGATTGATTGGAGTGATTTTGCTGGCTTCTGTACTACATCTATCCCAAACGGCGTCAATAATCTCACAATTTCTGATGTCTTTTGTATATCGTAAGATGATCCTTTTGTTGGTTTCTGTATCCGACTTCGTTCCTTCTGATGAGTAAGGTTGGTATTTTTCCGTCGAATGTGTGTGGGTAGCCGTTTTTTAAAGATAGTCTTTAGATATTTTCTTCATTTTTTCGCGTTGTAAATGTGCTGTAGTACGTTTTCACCCATCTAAAAAAAGTTTATACGCGGTTGATTTTGTAAGTTCTTGGGTTGTTGCCACTGTAGTTGGGAAGTTAATCTGAGTGGGTTGGCTTCTGATGTACTCGAGCCTTCGGTTTTCCTGTGTCGATTCTGGTGATCAGTACATCCAAGAATGATAGTTCGTTTTTCGAATCCTTTTCCACTGTGAATTTTATGTCATCGAAGACGTTGTTGATCAGATCGTAAATGTTTTCCAGCTTGTCCTTTTTGATGATGACGAATGTGTCATCCACAAAACGGGTCCACATTTTCGGCTTGACCAATCGTAAAATCGAGGCTTCTAGTCCGTGCATCACTGCTTCTACTTCGTTGAAAGTTTGACGTTCAAACCATCCAGTTCAAGGAACAAAGCTCCAGCAAAACCATTCGTCTGAGTTACAGATCTTTACCATTTTAGGAGATAACTTTGTTGATTTATAACTGTCTGGAAATCGAATACAACATTTTACACTCTATTGACAATAATAGTTTGCACTGATTTGGGATTCATATGGGTGAAACATCAATGCAATCAATAGAAATATAGGTACTCGAGTTCTGACTTCGGTGTACGTCATAGAGTGTGAATATACATAAAGTAATTGTAGTTTAGGTATAATAAGTGTAGTTCATAGTCAAGTCAGACTAGCATAATACTCCTCTATCTTAGAATAGACCACCACATGTAAAATTAACCATCAGTTCTATTCTAAAGCTTAGTTAAATGACATTGTCGAATATAAATTTTTCTTTACTGAATTGTCTTCACTTTGTTTGGTCAAATTACTGTCATATTTTAAACCACATAGATTAGTTATTTGTCACATCCTGACCTTTACCGGTATGAGCCACACTTTAGGTATGAGGGCTAAAAATACTGCTACTCGGTTGCCCAGAACACAGTAGGTGGAGCGGAGTTCGAACCTCAAACTTACTAGCTAACAGTTGAACATCTTAACTGTTAAACCACTGCTTTATCGACTTTTATCAGTCAGTGCTGACTAGTTTGAAGATAGAAGTCTTGAAAATGTTCAAATTTTATTTAGTTATTATTTTAATATGTGGTTATATATTCCAACTTTTGATTTGTTTACGCTAAATTAAATGAAATCATTCATGCTAAGTTTGTAATATTCACAATATAATTGTGCTTTCAGGATTACTTCCATGTTATGCTCGTGTCAATTTCTTGAAAACTACACTAGCTGATGTTATTGAAAAGCTTGAAACTTGTGGACTTAAACATGTGGAATATAATCGATCAGAAACTTCTTATCGAAAGTAAACCTATTTCTCTCACTTTATTTTTCTCTTAAACAGTCAGTAAGGAATGTAAATGATTAATTTCTTTTTCATTATTTTCATAGTTATTATTTTAGGTGTTCATTATCTATTCTGTGAGATGACTATCGTTACTCAGTTGTGGTTTAATCTCTTTAGATATTCAACGTTCTATATCTGTCTTGTATGTGGTTATAGGATAAGAGCAGGTTGTTCATTTCATTCTGTATTTAAATTACAGTCATCTTATAAATGATGAAGTGATTATTGATATTAAGGCGTAATGATCAGTCTTGGTTGGTATATGGGCTTCCTGTGTGGATTACCTCGATATAACCTTTGTGACACAAGTTGATATAGATTAGATACATCTAACTAACGAGTCCCTAATAAGACGAAATGCTCGCCTTAGATTCCACTGCTAGTCACATAACGTTCATATTGGGAATGGGATAATCCAAACCATTTCAAAGTGAATTAAGCTGGAAAGAAGCTTTATGGACTAAAACCAAATCGAACAATCTGTGTATACTCATCCATACATATATTCCCAGTCATTACTTAATAAATTTGTAATAGTTTTAACTGACTCAGGTTCTCATATGATGATGATGAAATGATCGTGGAAATACTTTTACGTTAGATCATAAGGGAATCCGAGATGATCTTGTGAATACCAATAATGTGGGATATTACAAGCTCTAATTGCTCAGGCGGGAGCTTAGAAAACCATTTTAAACAAGAAAAATATTTTATCAAAGAATATGACAGACTAAAGAAAATATAGTTTTAAGTCTTGTAGCAAAGCATTAATAATATATGTTCTAAAAACGATACGAACATACTACTTAAATTAGTGAATAGGTGATAGAGTATTACTGGAAATGGTAGTCTTCTTTTTATTTGCTAAGCATAGAAACACAAATATGTTGGATGTAAAGAATTCGCCTAGGGAAAAATTCCGGGTCCAAACCAATCGTGTACACAAACTTCAAAATCCTGAGGAAACAAATTGAATATGAACATATTTTTGATCATCGCTTACCCATGGGATGTTGTTCCACTGCCTTGAGAAGTACACCTATGGTTCAGAGCCTCGAAGAGTGGGACTTCCTAAGGAAATTACTTGATTCGCTGTAGGAGTCTGGTTGGTATCCCAATCCATGTACAGATATTATAGCGATTACCATTAAAGATAATATCCTCACATGTGAATATTAAATAAAATCCTCATGAATTATTACTATTTCATTGTTGTTTTATTTAGATTTCGTAAAAAAGTTTGTAAACTTGATCGTGGTGAATTCATGTTGGATTATCATCTCCCACATCTACTGTTAGTATTTCCCTCTGGTACTGCTTTACATGATTTAGAATTGTACAAATCTAAATCTCTACTTATTCAAGACAAGGTAAAGTTTCATAGATTATTGAACAAATATTTCTTATTATTCTAGGAAGTACTTGAAACAAGAAGTTATAAATAAAAGAAATCAGATTCTGTGATTAGTATTGTTAAGAATGGAATGCAATAGTGAGTGCGGTTAATCTACTAGGTATTATTTGGTTTAGAAGATTGCGCGACCAACTTCCATTGTACTGAGGTTGATACCTGTCTCTACCCGACATGGATTAGCTCCAATGGTCACGGCTTCCTATCAGAACTCAGAGAATTTTCTCGCAAGACAGGTGTCTACCTCAGTACAATGGAAGATGGTCGGGCAGCTTCGTGGATTGGTTGGAGTTAGACATTAACACAATTGGATGCCGGCTCAGTGGTCCAGTAGGTTAAGCGTTCGCGTGCGAGACTGAAGGCCCTGGGTTCGAGTCCCGCGGGCGGGATTGTGGATGCGCACTGCCACTGAGGAGTCCCACGACAGAACGAAACGACCGTCCAGTGCTTTCCAATGGTGGTCTAACATCAATCGGTTCATGATCTCGATCAAAAACTTAATAATCGCCACAACCCCTAAACTGATAGATGATCATGTTGTATTTGTATTCAAAAATTACTTTTTTTTTTTACCAAGATGTTACTATTTGTGCTATTCATTTATTATTTTCTGAGTGTGTTATTTGTAACTGTTTCTTTAAAGGCCAGTTGTTTCAGTCCGGAGATTCTTCAACCAGATCCAAATTCAGATGTTTTAGATGCTTGTGCTGCTCCAGGGAATAAAACATTACAATTAGTTTCTATGTTGTCCAATAAATCAACCATTTTCGCTGTGGATCGTGATCCAAACAGGTTAGCTCTCTCTGTTTCTTTTTTCTACGCTATTAAATATTAATAATTGCAATCCATATAAAAATAGAAGTAGCCTTCGGTTCACTTACTATGGGGGAATTTTAAAGATCTGTTCATTAATTGACTTGAGGACAGCTATTTTGTTTTTGATTTACTTATTGCATGACGGGAGCATTTCAAATGTTAATCAGGGCGATAAACCTTCTGACTGAACGCTTGAATGGGTTTTTTATGCTCTTAATAACTTCCGGCTAAATCTACTCGACAACTTGAACACACGAGCAAAGGCACAAAATGTGTAAGGAACGCTTTACTCCAAGGTTGGTTCATGTGCAAAAAATCGATTGTATTTATAGCATTTCAGATGGTTTGGGACTTCTGGAAGGTTCTGGAACCCTACTAAACATAATCACAGTACAGGTAATCATCCGGTCAGCTGTGTGACACGTGACTCTCCACTTTCTAGATGTTTCTGGGAAACTTCAATTCAATGTTGATTGGACAAAATTTTTCCCAGAGTTTTCAGGGCTTCTGTGGGCTTCTTTCGAGGAATACTCTGGATATCTCGAACAAGATTCAGTGAGGGGTTGTAGAGATCGTTGAATTTCATTGAAATCATGAACTGATCTAAGTTAGATCACCACTTAAAACCTGGAAGCACTGGACAGCGATTTCTTCCCTGGTCGTGACTACTCAGCAGTACGTATCCGCTACCCTGTACGCAAGAATCAAACCCAGGATCTTCCGTTGTACTCGTGAGTCCTCAAGCTCTAGACCACTGAATCGGCATTAAACGATGTTGATCTCTAGTCTCAATCAATTCACGACATTGCGTGACCATCGTTTATTGTCTTCAGTGGGTAACTGCTTCACATTCGACAGAGTATAGATTGCATTTACTTCATTGATTTCGAAATGTTTTCACAAATGTCATCCTAGCGATTTCCTCACACGAGCATAATTCAGCAAAGATTAATCCTTAGATATCAGCTTCGATTTGTTGGGATAAAATGCTGATCAAACACCATTGGATTTCTTTTCAAGGATCCATATATTTGTCTTTTATCATGTTTATTAAATGTGTACTTTTTTCTTTGTCAACCCTCAGAATCAAATCGTTTTACAAACTTATTAGTAAACAATTCTTAGTATAGATTAAATGTTATAATTTTTCTTTAGATTCCGACGTTTTACTGAAAATCTAATTGTTAATGGAGTAGAACGATTGTCAATAATGGATTGGTCTAATTCTAATAAACAAAATAATAAACATAGAAAATCTGTTCAAAGTTCACAACCATCCGTTGAAGCGTATTGTTCAGATTTCTTATCTATAGATCCATATAATCCAAAATTTTCCAATGTTCAATCAATTCTTCTTGATCCTTCTTGTAGTGGTTCTGGTTTATCAATTCGTCAACCAGATGGTGGTGAACAATATGAAAAATGCACATATAAAGATAGTAATAATTATACAGATGAATATAATGAAGAATATACATCTCGTTTAAAACGATTATCGAATCTTCAAGCTATGTTATTAAAACATGCATTAAAGTTTCCAAATGTTCAACGTGTTGTCTATTCAACTTGTTCAATACACCCTGAAGTAAGAATTCTTCTAATATAGTCTAATTTTGTGTTATTATCATATTGTAGATATGTATGACTGGTTAGCATTTTTTTAGCGAGTTAGTTTTCTACGGGATGGAATCACTAATCCCATGTCCAACCCTCCTCCTTTATCTGAGCTTGGGACAGGCGATAGCCCCAGAGGGGCTCCAGGCGCAGTTAAACTCTCCCATGCCGCGAGTCGAACCTGGGCCGCCTAGGTGAAAGTCAGGAATCGTAACTCCTAAAAAATACTAGTCGGCGGCCTATGCTTCACTGGGATTAACAGGCGTAGGTAAGATTTGTATAACTGTGCAATTTGTATACAGTTTTGTGTACTAAACTATAGGTCAAACTTTTGTCGTATAATTAAAATTAGACAGACCTACTTTTAACACATGATCGAATGATTTTCATTGAGATCATGGTCGATTCATGATTTCAATTAAACTCAACAATCTCTACAACTTTATAATGACATCATTCAATGTTTTACATACATGAGGGTTAGAATTGATCCATTGTTAATATTATTGTGGACTTCATTTAATCATTCTCTATTAAGATATCTGCATGCTGGGCACATTGTTCCGATTATACTTTTTAGTAAAGTTGGATTGTGACTAGTAGTGGATGCGCATTTTATCCACTTGAGGCGTCGTCAGCTGTATGTACCTGGGAAATATACTGGGTCTAATCTCCAACATGGACATCAGCACTGGGGTGGGCCATGTACATTCGGCTAACGTGTTCCATGTAGGATGAAACACCCATCCTAGATTTCACTGCTCGCCACAATTCAACTTTACAGATCCAGTTTTTGAAAATTGAATAGTTAGATCATTGAGTCACATTTTAATGTTAATTGTTTTACATAATATCCATTTTGGGTAAACTTAAGGGAATATTTATACTAGTTGACAGTTATTTCTGTTTACCTTGAGGTAGTGTAACTTGATCTATGGACGTTGAGGAGATATGGGTAGATTACTAGTGTGTAGTCACAATTGTTTTGGAAGTGTTACTATTGTATGTTGAATTTGTAGTATTAGCAGTGCCATGATATATTAACACCTAAATGGTTGCCTAGCACATGTCAATCTGCACGAAATTATTATTATTATTATTATTATTATTATTATTATTATTATTATTATTAGCTTTATTCAACATTATATTTTTGGTACAACATAGAATTCTCAGCATAAAGTATTTCAACAAGTTTCCTTTTCTTATACCTTGATCGATTGTGACGATAAATTTTGAATGATGACCAGTTAGATGTTAGGAGTTCGGTAATCCACATTTGATTAATGTTCATTCGTTTCAATGCATATTGCCGGCCACCATGATGTCGCTGATTGTACCTTTTTGTATCCCGTATAGCGAAAGGTTGTAAACTTTTCATAAACGCGCCTGAATAGGTTGTGCGCACAATAGACATAGTGATGTGCTAAAACAAACAACAAAACAGATAACTTGATGAAATATCTAGATCGGAGGAACAGGTAGCCCAGATATTCAAGCAGGCCGCCGGGAGATTGAGAATAGAAGGTCTCAGAATGCAGTGGTAAGAAATAGTATCATCGTTTGTCTACGTAGTGGTCATAAGTATTACAAACATTTTTAAAAACAATAACTAAAGTTCTTGGCTCGAGTCCCTGAAACTTACACTATGAGTAAAAATCAAATAAAAATCCATTCAGAAATTTTGAAGGTATTTACTAGATCACTTTAAACGGTTTGGTTGTGTCTACTTCGTGACGCGCTGTCAACCGAAAGCGATAAAACGGGGCTACAAAACGATTTTGTTAGATTTTTTCCAACCATTAAAGGAGGTTCTTTCTAACTCGACTAAGCTGTATAGTCGTATACCCAACGTATCTCCTCTTGGGAATCCTGTCAACTTTTGCTTTTTTGGGAATAAGGTACTCAAACTCAATAATAAAACTGTTTATAAAACAAAAAAAAACGCCGTTCACAACTCTTTTATGAAAGTCATTGAAAATCAGTGTAGTCTCAAACCGTTGACTGTTTTGCTTGTAGTAGTTTGTGTCTTTTCATTCTTGATATTAAAGACTGTAGTCAATAGCTTTCTGTTGATTATATGTTCATCCTGAGCAGATTGACCTATAAAGCTGTTATAGCTGTGTGACTACCGATTAGACGCAGCGAATTATCGATCGAACCAAAGACGCGTAAACACGTAAGTACGGTCTAGAGTTCTGATTGACCCCGCTTCCCTGTCTAGCCCTGCCAGTTAAGTCCGTAACGCAAGTCTCAGCCTCTGAGATATGAATCATTATATTTCAAACATACTCGGTTTATATACCAATCAAGCAGACCACAACGTAGCATAAAATAGAAAATAACATTCGTACAATATTTGGCCAATAGGAAAATGACACGTGAAATAAATATTGACCAGTAGGAAAATGTTACCATTTCAAGTCCAAAAATAGCATTAGACTTAACAGGAAAATTTTTGGGATATTTTTCTGAATATCCCAACAAAAGCCTATAAAGTTTATTTCTAATTTGTTTGAAGAGATTTTCTTGTGAAATAATGATGATATTAATTGTGCATTTTGTTGTTGTTGTTGTTGTTGTTGCATGGTTATGTTTATTTAGGAAAATGAAGCAGTTGTACGTGAAATTGTTGATTATGCATCAGATAAATTTTATTTAGAAACAATTTGGCCATATATTGCATCATCTTCTAATTCTATAAATCAACCAATATGGAAACATCGTGGTCTATCTGATATATATCAATGTGAATCATGTATACGTTCATCTGAAAAAGATTTAACAAATGGATTTTTTGTTGCTTTATTTATAAAATATCAATCAAATAATTCATTGAATGTTACATCATCATCATCACCACCACCACCATCATCATCATCATCATCATCACCATCACCATCAATTATGACTACTGAATTAGGCGTACCTGGTAACTTATCATTGACATTCAATAATAATACACCAACTTCCATTGTTGTTAATTGTAATAATAATAATGAAAATGTTAATTTGGAAAAACAAGAATTATTCACTTTTAAAATACGAAAAAAATGTAGAACTAATCTTTAAGTGTTTAAATTTCTGTCATAAAATTGTATTATATTTTGTAAATTAGTAACTATGACTATAATGTTGTAATCTTATAATGTTTAATTAAAAAAAAGAAAAGAACATATAAATAGACAAAACTTTTCATATATTTTTGTGTGTATGTATGTGTGTGTAGTTTTTTTTGGAGGGGGGGTGTTGATATAGTTTTTCTGTTTATGTGTTAATACCTTCATTTCACAGATTGAAATCATGAGTCAATTGAAGCTAGACCACCCATGGAAAACCTGGAAGCACTGGACGGCCGTTTCGTCCTAGTGTGAGACTCCTCATCATGAATTGATATTGATAATTTAAAGCAATTGGTCCCTTTGATAAATTTCGATGGTATAATAAGAAAATAAAGATTATCAGAAAACTATGTGGTGATATTCATTTGGTGTGGTTTACTTGCATCTTCCTATTGTTATTTAAGACTGTAATTGATCAGTCTCTTCTTGGCATATGTGCATGCTGTGCGAACTGTCTCGATATTGCTTGAAATCACAAGCTTTTTAAACAATAATGGATAGTGGCTAACAGTGAAATCCAGTTTGACGCTCATTTCGTCTTATTTTGGTACTCGTCAGCTGGATGTACCTACATGTCAGAGTTGATGTTCACTCAGAAACCCGAACCCAGTACCGTATGCTTAAAACGCCTCGCCGGAGATGGTGGGCTTAAAGCCCCCAAATGCCTGGTATGGTCGAGAGTGGGGTGAGCCCTCCCCCCCTTTCGAAATGCTCTCAAACGGCCACGCGTATACAGCCTCTGCCAGGGAAGTCCTACTCACTGCCTTCCTGTGACGAGGGTGTTGTTTACGAAAATGAGAGGACGAAAAGCGAATATCCGGCGTACTAACCGGATCCCAAACCAATGGTGCACATGGGCTCCAGTATCTTGCGGGAACAAATGGCGTATGAACCAATCTTGGTCACTGGCTACCATGGGACTACATCTCCTCACGATGTGCTCCACTGCCTTGTGCATCAGACCTTTAGGTCAAAGGCTCGGGGTGTTGCCCCTTAAGAAAACCACCTGTTTCGGTCTGGGCACCGGAGCAGTATCACAGCCCACACACAAATCACGACTTGAATGGAGCATATCTATTCGGTGCCTATTTGTACCAATGTTTACATGTTCAAATAAATAAATAAACATCCTTTACAAAATTCTATCAAGCGAAAACAACGCTCTTCTAAAGCATCTATTATGAGTAGATAGCTAACAAAACTTAAACAAACAAGTACAATGTTGATTTTGTTTAATCATTTTGAAAAAAAAAGACTAAAACATTGTAAATCTCAACGAAATAGTTCTTATCGAATATTGTCAATAATCATGAATGTTGCATAATTGTTACGAGTTTTACATATACCATTATTTATGACTTTAATTTTAGGTTATTTGATCTCTTCTCTATTGAAAGTGTCGTTGATTATAATGAATACAGAACATCTTGAGAATGTGCAATCGGTAAATGGTTTTTATTTTATTTTAAATATTTAACAGATATTTCCCTTGCTTCTACTATTACATATCTGTCAATGTTTAATATTCATTTAAACTATATTCTGTTTTCGGAATGGATACATTTATTTCCAGATGTGTTTCGATTCCTGGGCGTTGTCTAATATATTTACATGAGAGGTCTGATTGTTTTATATCCTGTAGATCTCCGACCAATATCACGTTCCAAATCACCGATCAAAATCATGATTTTAATTTGATTTATTATTTATGATATAGCTTAGTGTCTCTGACTTGATGATTTACACACCCGACCAGCGCTATTGACCTTGAACAGATCACTAATTTCTATTAGGTGTACCGACTGTTCACAAGCTTGTTTCTAAGTTATGCCTTGAGTTGATAAGTATCAACCAGCTTCTATAATATTAACAATATCAAACAGACGTGGTCTACATATAAATATACTGGACCACATCACACTGATCATACATGAAGAAGCTGAAAGTGGCTTTAAATAGAACAAATTGCAACATATAGATTGTCAATAAATTAAGAATATTAAATCGTATAACCGTAATTAATGGAATTGAAATGTATAAACATAGTAATCTAGTTACTCAGTAATTATACAATGCAATTATAATTAATAATTATTCAAACAACTAGTTCCAACTTTTACAATATTCTTTCTATTATAACACTGGTTACGTCATCATCTTCTATCAAATGCTTGAACATTGTGACAGCAAATATAGTATAGAAATGGTACTTCTTTTTCCTGATATTGGATCTGCTATCGATTCATTACTGAAGAATTCATTATAATAGAATCGTATGTTGAAGACACTTCTGTTAGGATTTCAATAATATCTTAAGTGCAATTGTTAAGTAAACCCCTAGTTTATATATATTTAATGAGTAGTCAACACTAAGCATGATACATCACTTCCCGACTAGTCAGTCCATCGATGTATACTTCTTTCCTGAGGAACCTGAGAAGGAAACTGGGTTAGTGGTTGGTTGGTTTTGATGATTTAAGAGTGTAGTCATAGTGCTTCAGAGATAAATACTTGAGGCCAGTCACACATATCTTTTATTCAAATTGTTTTAAACAAATGAACTCCATACTTATCCGACTTTACTGCCAGCTACGGAAATCTATGTAACAAAGTAACGTGTGCTATTTTTGAGGTCAACGTTTTCTATTTTTTTTAATAATTAAACGCATAAATACTGATACAAGGAGGTACCAAATAGATATGCGTCACATAAATCATTCGATTTGTATGAGGCTAGGTGCCCAAACTGAAGCAGGTGGTTGTTTTAAGGGCCACACTTAGGGCCTTTGATCTAAAGGTCTGATCCACAAGGTAGTGAAGCAACATCAGAAGATGTCATCCCATGGTAGACGGTGACCAACAATTGGTTCATACACCATTTGTTCCTTCAGTGAGTAGGACTTCCCTGACGGTGGTTGTGTGCACATGGCCGTGTGAGAGCATTTCGAGGAGAGCTGACTCTCCTCACTCTCGGTCGTAGTTAAGGTATTTAAGGGATATCGAATGTTTTCTAACTTCCTCCATCATTTTGTTTGTAGACAATGATATTGTAGATGTTGGTTATCAAATCGTTTTATTCTTGAAAGTGATTTAACTGATTTTTAATGCTGAATATCACCTTTTTCTCTAATCTTTTTGTTTCAGGAAACTATACCTATAACTAATGAAGAAAGTATATCAAAACGAGCAAATCGTAAATTGGATCAATATTTAAAGCGTAAAGAAGTAATTTTTATAAAATATAATCAGATTTATCTAAAAAATAAAAAATTTTTTTTTCTTATTATATAAATAGGCAAGACGTGTAACAAGGAAAGCGTGTAAAGAACGTCGTAAACTTCGACAACAACAACAACAACAGCAGCAGCAGCAACAACAACCACAACAATCATCTTGTGTTGTTGTTCATGATGTGAATAATGATACTTGTATATCGACAGAAAATAACCTTTCAATTCCAAATGATACTTTTACTTCACACAAAATTCAACGTTTAAAAATGTCAGAATCATTGTGTCAAACTAAAGTTGTCATTGATTGTGCATATGATCATTTGATGTCTTTCAAAGATATCTGTAAATTGGCTAGTCAAGTAAGTAGATTTTATACATAGATCCATATTCACAGTTTTTATTATAGATTTGATAATATGTATACATTACCCATCACCTTGTTAATGATAATCGTAATAATAATGATAGTAATGATAATAATAATAAACTTAAATTTGTAAACTAATATTAAGTTCACATTAAGTCGTAGCACGCTGATTAACCCGTTTCTAACTGTTTGAGAGGATACTCAATACTCTTATATTCTTTATGTTTGTTGTTCCAGTTCACTTGGATATATCTTGTCTCCAACTATCTTAACCAATGGTTGGAGACTCTGGGTGACATGGCTCAGAATCAATCACACTGGCGTCGGCGTATACACTCTCTGTCTTCCCTTAAACTAAGAGATTAAAATCGCTTCATATCTTTCTTTCTACGAAATAATTCTTCCTGTATTATATCCTTATGCTCAATCTTTCTTTTATATATTACCACCTCTGAATTAACTATTTTTATGAATCCGGTGTCCATCTTGTTGTGTTAATGAGGTATGGCAACTTGGACCGATGCATATATGCGCCTGGTCCTACGTTGTAGCTGACTGACTGATTGACAGGATTCTTGTTCTGATTTGAGAAGAGTTTCGGTTGGAGTGTCTTTCTCTAATCTGGATAGTTTAATCGTGTGTTAACAAAACTGCTAAGTTTGAAGCGATTACGGGTTCACTTAGACTGCGAACGGAACAAAGACTTGTGACCAAGGATCAATAAACTAGCTATTCTATTGCGTCCCAGCCCCGCTAACTAGAGTGAGAAGTCGAAGTCCGAACTGGGAAGTATATTCCGCAAAAAGCCAGAAGCACGAGTGATAACAACACAGAACCGCCATTGGGAAGCGTTACAAAATATCATACTAAAAGACAGCGGACCAATGGTGTTTAAGATCTTCCCAAGTGGGAAATACGACGTGAAGGTAGAAAGAGCGCTTTTGGCGCGAAAATAATTCAAATTTTCTAAATAAACTTACAAAATTAGGTCCTTTTCCAAATGAGTTCTAGGGATCTAACGTTCCCCCCAAAAAACATATCGAAGAAAATATTTATGGAATAAGTAAAGGTGTTCTCTTATGGAAGCCTGGCTTCTTCTATTTTCGAGCAGCAAAAAGTGTGTCACGCTTATTTGATTCTGAGATTATCAAGAGGGTTTGTAGCGCAGATGGAGTTCTATCCGCTGAATTGGACGATGTAATGTACAAGAAAATACTAGTCAGTAGCAGATCTAACAAAAATGTGTGTTATCAGTCAAGAAAATTGATTTGATCAATAATATTGTGAACCTGAAATTGATTTATTCTATTCGGATTCGTGTTACACGTTGTATTGGTGACTCAATATAGAGTAGGCTGTTTCATTTTGAAATTCATCAGGTATTAGTCTCTCGACGTTTTGTTTGATTTCTTGAAATATTGAGAACTTATCTGATAGGTAATGCCTGAAATTGATTAGGATAGTACAGATTTGTTTATTCTTAATCATCCACAAAATCTTCTACACATTATATCTCTTAATCTATAACATTCATACTAATGTTAGTAGTGTAGTAAATGAGAAAGTTACAGTGCTTTCGTAAAATATGAAAATTATACATTCAATCCATCATTTGCACATCTTCCATCAGTTGTCTCTTACAATCTTCATCGTTTCTTCATTCCTTTTGTTATTTTGATTGCTTTCAATATTCTTTTCTTTTTTATTCGTTTCAATGTTTTGCTGGCATACATTCCACTTCTGACTACGTATAGTACTTATATCTGTTAACATAAGTAGCATACACCATAGTGTTCTTTCTTTTCTTTGTTATTTATAACTTTTCAAAATAAACTAGTACCAAGTCATATAATAGCTGAAATCAAGTGAGGGTTGAAGAGTTCGGTTTTATTTTAGAACTTATCAAAAACATATCTCTTTAATCTAAGTCTCGTTATTAGATAATGGTGTAGTCTACTAATTCGAGATAATTTAATGACTAATCTGTAAGAGTCTCTAGTGCATAAAGGCAAGAAGAGTAATGGTTTCAAACTAATAACTTGGTTACCGGTGAGTAGTGATCAATTGAATCATGAACACGTCAACATCTGGAGGGAAGCATGAAATACAGTAGACAGCTAGGATGCAGGTGGACGATCTAGGCTTCGCAAAAGATCTGGCTCTTCTATCGCACACTGAACAAGAGGCGTAAGTAAGTAAGTAAACTATGGAACCTACTCATTTCAGATTCAATTATTTCATGGATGGTTATGATGAATTTGCTTAAAGAAGCCCATTTAAACTTTGCATATTTTTTTTACACCCTCTAGGTTGCTAATTGTTATTCTATCAATAGACGTGCCAAACATCCAGTTCAACTTTATATCACCGGTTTAGGTTCCAATAACACCACAGAGACTAACATCAGCAATCAAGACAATTTGTTGTCTGTAGATAAATGTTTATCTACCCGGTTATATGATAGATTAAAGTTAAGCAACTGTGACAGTTGGGATGTGAATCTATGTGAGGTAAGTTAGTTTATAGATGCTTTTGTGGAGATACGCCGGACAAGTTTATTTTGTAAATAGTTTTTAATACTATTTGTATTTATTTTGTCAATCTTTCACTGTCTGTACATTTTATCATTAAATGACTGTAACTGTTGTTTTAGTAAATGATCTTGAACTCACTTTCCGTTGTGATACTGACATAGCGTGACACACTTGTGGTTGTTCTCAAATACACTGCTACACACACACACACACACTCGTTGTTCTACTCTCACTCGTTATTGAGCTAATTGCATGCTGAATCGAATATTATCCACATTTATACACTGTGAGCTGAGACATATCGCACATAACAGTGGATTACATTATTGGAGAGTTCAACAACCTGTACGGAATTATCGAATATTTATAATTATGGATTTATAATACCAGACCCAACCAGAACACGTAACTCTTGGTGAATTTAAGTAAAGTCCATATTTTTTATGTTGTATTAATAACTATTAACATTATTATTTATTCTTCATAACTTGGTTAACATTTTTTCGCGTTCATATTTGTCTGGTCCACTACAATTATTTGGTGAGCCTCGAATTTGTTATAGACATTTACTATATATATATATATATATATATATATATATATATATATATATATATATATATATATATATATATATAGTGTGGTACCAACAAATATCCGTTGCGCGTTTGGGTGACCTAGGGCGATGTCGGGACGTTGATCGCTTTCTGGAGATTGATCTTGCAGGTCGAGAGTGAATCGTGGCAATGGTCGCCTGCAGCGATGCGACTTGCCGAGTTTAATCTGCGATTTGTTGATGTATGTCATGAGGGGGAGTCGTAACATCTTGACTGGAGGTTTGTATGGCATTTAGGCGTCGACTGTCAAGATAAATTTCCATCGTCTTGTCTGCCATATCAGCTAGATAGTCGAGATTGACGGAAGTTCCTGATACGCTGAGAATTTGGGTGACGTTGTGTGGTAAACGTTGAAACCACATCTGTTTAAGTAATGCGTCGTCTACCTTATATGACCCTGCTAAATGTTTCATATGCCGGAGTAACTGCGAGGGTCTCTTGCCCCCCCCCCAATTCGCAAGACGTGAGCAACTGATGTAGTCTTTTCTCGGCTGAGATCGAGGTGCTTTGGATTGCAGCTGCCTTTATTTTATCATAAGGTTTTGGTTCCGGCGCATGGTCAATCAAATCTCCAACCTCAGCAGCAATCTCTATGGGGAGTGCGCCGACTGCATATGCATACTTTGTTGCCTGTGACCTTATGCCTCGTTCCATAAATAATGCGTCGATCTGTGCAAACCAAATTCTAGGATTGTTGGCACCGTACATTGGTAATCTTTACTCAGAAATGGCGTTTATCGAGCTTAAAACATTATCTTCTGGTTGTGATGAATTGAGGGGGTTGGTCGATGGGCTATCTATATCAATGAGTTTACTGGGAGAGTTCATAGTGGGAGAAACAAGAATGGTGTGGCGTGCCAAGTAATAATAATATATATAGTAAATGTCTATAACAAATTCGAGGCTCACCAAATAATTGTAGTGGACCAGACAAATATGAACGCGAAAAAATGTTAACCAAGTTATGAAGAATAAATAATAATGTTAATAGTTATTAATACAACATAAAAAATATGGACTTTACTTAAATTCACCAAGAGTTACGTGTTCTGGTTGGGTCTGGTATTATAAATCCATAATTATAAATATTCGATAATTCCGTACAGGTTGTTGAACTCTCCAATAATGTAATCCACTGTTATGTGCGATATGTCTCAGCTCACAGTGTATAAATGTGGATAATATTCGATTCAGCATGCAATTAGCTCAATAACGAGTGAGAGTAGAACAACGAGTGTGTGTGTGTGTGTGTGTAGCAGTGTATTTGAGAACAACCACAAGTGTGTCACGCTATGTCAGTATCACAACGGAAAGTGAGTTCAAGATCATTTACTAAAACAACAGTTACAGTCATTTAATGATAAAATGTACAGACAGTGAAAGATTGACAAAATAAATACAAATAGTATTAAAAACTATTTACAAAATAAACTTGTCAGGCGTATCTCCACACTTTTCCAATAAAATGTAAATTTAACCTCATATGTTCATCTTTTGATGAAATAACAGCAATTCACACACAGAGAATGAACTTTTGAAAGGAGTTAATCTAATGTATTGACATTTTTTGAATCTGATGTATGGTATTGTTATACAATATACTCAACTTATCCAGATATCGAACTTTTAGGTTTATGATGTTGGGGTTATTTTATCCATTAAACTAGGGTGCATAAAATCGATGTGAAATCGATATCAACACATTTAGGTTGGATGCTCGATCTACTATAGAGAGACAATACCGTTTACAAATGATTGATCACTAGGTAGTGATCAATGTTATGTGTGTGAAGTCCTTCTTAGTGCAGATCGAAAGCTATCTATCAAGTTGCGATGTGGTCACTAGTCTAGGTGACTCGACATTGCGTGCACTATGTTGAGATAAGATGGTGGGTGGAGATAGTTGACTGGAAACCCTGGACCTAGGTTTCGTGCTATTTGGCACACGTCAGTAAACTGTACCTGTAATCTTGTGGAAACTGATGCTCCTTAACGGGTTTAATCTCGTCTCACCCAGCTTCACAGTCATAGACATTACCACTGGGCTATCCGGGCCGCGACCGACCTCTTGTAGGACTGAGATGTAATCACAATTGATTGATCACCACCCTGTTGACTACCTATATCTAACAAGAACGTCTACTTCCTAGGAGCCCTAGAAAGTATTTATTGATCTTCGATAATTATTTTAATAACATATTTTTTGCAAAGAGCTGTATACCGAGGAGACCTATTATTCGGTCTCTTAAATGCACAGTTACTGGAAAAGTGTTTTAGCTTATTAAACTATGCTACAATTCCGAATCATTTCACCTAATCGGTCTTATTGGATGAATTAACTGGTAGGACAAAACTTTGGTTACTAACATGTGATAGATTAGTATATCTACATAACCTTATACGAACTCACATCGATATAAATTGCCTTATTTCACATTGGCATCGTGTGAGGTGAAATTAATGCAATTGATGTAAACCGAAGAAAAACATCTATTGTAATGAAAATTGAACATAGAAAGTGACAAATGATATTAGGACAATGAAAAGTGTAAGAAAATACACACCTTATTATAGAAGTCAGTCAGTCAAACACAATCTAAGACGTTTCATATGTGTATGTCAATGTAAGTTGCTGTATTCCTAATAACGTATAGGGAGATAAAATTGTCAGAGCAAATCGCCGAGTAGTCGAGATAATATTAATATTAATGGTAATAGCAAAGACCAGACATAAAAGATATGCTCCGAGAAAAGAAATATGGATTAGTGGAATGATGAAAAAAAACGGATACGATAATTTAGAAACTTAGGTATCTAAGGAAAGACAAAGTAGTGAACACATCTATGCCATTGCAAACGATTCTGAATCATGTTAATTAAAAATTGACGATAATTTATTAATCTATCAGTGATCATCAGTTGAAAAGAATCAATATAGATCTTCTGAAGTCAATGAATAATTCTACAATACGTCATTTCACAATTCTAGTCTTAGATCCATAAAAAATTTCTTTATTCTTTGTCATGAAGTGGCGGATGTTCACTATCTGATCCTTATACCGTTATTCGGATATCTATATTCAAACATTTGATAAATTTCGTTGACAACATCTCAATCACTATAGATAAGTTTCAATTAGGTGGTGATAACTCGATCAGTGAGTAACTTACGTGTTATCATCAGAATGGGGTTGTGGAGAATGCTAAGTTTTTGAGTGAGATTATGAATCGATCAATGTTAGACCATCATTGAAAACCTGGAAACACTGAATGGTTAACATTGGTTGTATCATTTTTCTTCCACTTCGCTCAGCTATTCTCCATCTCACTGGCCAGTTGATTGGAGTTCTGTATCTTACATATGGTGGTAGAACATGCTGGCGAAGACAGTCGTGGAGAAAATACAGCTGTTCTCGAATAGAAGTCTGCCTTTTGGCGAAATTCTCCCATTTTCGAACAACGAGAAGCGTACTATGCTCATATGATTTCGAGATGGTGGAAAAGATTTGTAGCTCAGGTGGATGATTTTGATGGAGTTATGTTCTGTGAGCTGTATGGTTTGGTCGTGGAGCTTACATCGTTGTTCTGAACGACATCATCAGCACAAACTGCGGGCAGAAGTGTTGATGATGTCGTTCAGAACAACGATGTAAGCTCCACGACCAAACCATCCAGCTCAGAGAACAAAACTCCATCAAAAACACTTGACTGTTGTTTTGTCCTGGTGTGCAACTCTTCAGCAATGCACATCCACGATTTTGCATATGGAGTTCGAACCCAGAACCTTCGGTCTTGTGCGCGAACACCTAACCTATAGACATAATTGACGGATAATATTGTTTATTATCAATATCTATTTTTAATGATTTCTGTTTTTTATAGACAACATTTATCTTTATCTTTATAGGATGATTTTACTAAACTATTTTCAGCTGATAAAATTGTTTATTTATGCGCTGAATCAGAATATCTTCTACCAGAACATTTTAATACCAAGTACCAAACTAATGAGACTATTCAATGTACTCAAAATGATATTTATGTTATTGGTGGTTTAATTGATCATAATAGATTAAAAGGATATTGTTATCAACAAGCCATTGAACGTGGTTATAGAACAGCTAGATTACCATTAAAAGAAATTAATTTACATATTGAAGGTCGATTTGTATTATCTACTCTACATGTATTTCAAGCATTATGTCCTGTATTATCCGGTACAAAAACTTGGTTAGAAAGTTTAAAACAAGCAATACCACCAAGAAAGTTAATGGTTTGTATATAATTCAATTGATTATGTTTTGATTTATTATATATATTCTCCACTTCAAAAAAAATGTTCCCGTTATTTCTTTTTTTCTCTCTCAAATATTTGAAATGAGATAGTTACACTAACTGAATAAAAGCTTCATCTGATTTAATGTTAATACCGAAATCTACAATCGGTCAGTCAGTCAGTCAGTCATCTACAACGTAGCACCAGGCTCATATGTGCATAGATCAAAGTTCCCATACCTCATTATCACAACAAGATGAACATCAAATTCATAGAAGTAGTTAATTCAGTGGTGGTAATATATAAAAGAGAAATTGCATATAAGGCTTTATTACAGGAAGAAAGAATTAGTTGATAGAAAGAAAGTTATGAAGCGATTTTAATCCCCTTTAAACTAAAGGGAAGATAGAAAGTGTATACAGCGACGCCATTGTGATCGATTCTCATCCATGTCACCCTGTCTGCAATCATTGTTTACGATAGTCGTGTATTCGTAATACAGACATATCCGCTAAGAGGACCGGATCGCAACACTTCTGTGATGACTGATAGGAACTTCACTTATTTGTGTTCAACTTTATGATGATATTGATAGACACCAAGTTAGACAAGACATTTCTTTATGCTTAGAAGTTAAGACATAAACGGTTTTCTATGTACATGGTTGTAATAGACGGTCACTTATCTACGTTCTGGATTGGAGTGACATATGACTCATCCACGTGTATTTCAGGTTTTCTTAATCTATCTAATCGGGCTACAACTAATTCACCTGAATGTTTTACCCTTCTAGAGGTCAGAAAACTTTTGATGAAACTGAGTTTTTATTTCATCTGCATTGTAGTCAGTGGGGGCGTATACAAAAATAACGAATAGACATCGGCATATATCTCTGAATTTCAGGATACTAACTGTACATTTATTCTGGCAACCTGTAAGCGACTGTTTACTGTTATCTACTCAAGAATTATTTGTCCTATTTTCGAACTTACCACTATACCTACTCCAGCAGGACCATAAGAAAATGTTGCTGAGTCTCCAGATACACAATTTCTGAATCGTACTCGTTCGATATTTGAAACAATCTCTTAACTCATTGATTTCTCGAGGCCCTTAATATTATGCCCTGTAGATCTCTGACCAATGTCACGTTCCAAATCACCGATCAGTATCCTGATTTGAATTTAGTTTATTATTTACTGTATAGCTTAGTGTCTCTGAATTGACCAGCACCATTGACCTTGAACTGAACACTAACTTCTAATAGGTGCACCGACTGTTCACAAGCTTGTTTCTAAGTTATACCCTGAGTTGATAAGTATCAACCAGCTTCTATAATATTAACAATATCAAACAGACGTGGTCTACATATAAGTATAGCGGAGCACATCACATCGATCACACATGATAAAAAAAATTTGACTCCAATGTTAACAATATAGTGAGACATTTTAAACGAAGAATTTTAAATAAAATCATCCTATCAAGTAAACCTAGTCACCTTGAGGTATTCACTAGCTTGTCGTCCCGTTTTAAGCAGTAAAGTGTTTTAGGTTAGTTGATGTAAATTAGAACATGATTTGTTAGCAAATTATTTTGCAACACCTAGCAGGATAGTGTCCTTAATTCTATATGTCTAAGTCAGGATCATATCGGAACTCGCAGATGAGTCTTTTTTCAACCAATGGGAGCTAGTGGGGTGTCTTGAAAAGATTAGCAGGTTAAATTCATGTGGACTAATACTACTATCAATGTATTCTAGCTGTTCGAAACAAATTCCACCTATTTCGATGTAGGCCACTGGGTAATTTCATTAACTTTCACAGAAATAGTTTCACTCAAAGCCGGTTACACAAATTTTCACTTGGCAAATGAGTCTAATTAATGACTAGTATTACAAAATTGGATAGTGTAGAAGATAATAACTCGAAAATATCTCCAATTCATAGTTTTAACTTGTGAAATCCAATTTTGTAATTGTCTACCTATCCAGGGAGTTTGTGGTGATTATTGAATGTGATTAATAATACCACGAACCGACTGAAATTAAACAGCGCTTAAAAAATATAATCACTGGAAAGCTGTTTTGTTCTAGTATAGGACTCCTCAACCCATGCTCATCCACTTTGGTCTCACTGCAAATGTGTACTCTTTGAAGCACTGGACCAGTAAAACCTCAACATTCAATCAATTCACAACATTTCATATCTCCCTTTACCACTCATCTCTAGTAAGATGAACAGTCAACATGACTAACTTGTTGTTGAATGGAGGTTTGTTAATGTACTTTTTCCTGATGCTTGATGTTGAGTTTTCCAATGTTTGTTTTCACATTGTGATAAAACGTCAAACATTAGATTGTGGAGTTGTTACTTGACCATATGCATACATCAACTCAATATCTTACTGGATGTTCAAATTACTTGTTAGTAGTAGTGCACAAAATTGTTGTTTAGTCATAATAATTGAAAATCTTCAGTGTGTTTAAGCCCATATTCTAGTAAATCTGAATTGGATTGATATAATAATATTTGGATTATACATATTGTGTCTATTTCATCAATTAAGTAGTATATTCAGATGGATAATTAACTATTCAATGTCTAATTTCGTTACATATTTCATGATCCATCTTGTCAAGCTTGTACCTAATGCTTCTTTTTAGCTTATCAAATCACCCATATTGTCTGTAATCCTTTAACTGAGCTATTGAAGTTATCCATTAGTGAATTCATGACAAACTATGGTATCAATCGCGAATGGATGTGCTTTAAAATCGATTATGGTTGCGTAGATTCAATCACTCTTTCTTTATCTTACTTTAGATCTTCAGTTTCGCTATTCCTTTGTGCATACTTTCTTTTCATTTCATCTTATTGAATCATGTTCTCAATATTCAGTCATCTTTATTATCATTGCTACTACTACTACATGATTTCGATCTTTATTACTATTCATCATGTTAGTTTTGTGTCGCCATTTTAGTTTAACCTGAGAACTTGAACGGACTCGAATTCGGTATCAGACTGATAGTTCATTATAATTAATGGGCTGAAAACCAACCTTGTTCGTTAAATATTGTCAAACTAAATTGACTTCTATTATTGAACTGTAAAGTATTCCGAAGTTGATTACATTTGATATATGTTTATTCAATTCTCATTATTGTGAGATGTATATATAGGGCTACTTGTAGAGATAGTATGCTATGTCTTTGAATTTGTAGCCTATGTACTTGTCACTATTCAATATGTGAGTGATGTATCTAGCACTTTTTTCATTTATGTAATGACACATAAGAGGACAATTTTCCCTGAGAATTTCATTTCAAGCTCTAACTTGTACGTTGAGATGGTCTACAGTGGGTGTATTTACAGAAGACATATGTAGATAGGTTCAGATAATCAAAATGTAGTTACTAGTAGTGAGAACTGCACTCGTATGCAACACTGACGCACGAAATGAACGGAAAAATGCTCGTAAATGCTGTAATGCAGTTTTATTGAAGATTAAAAAAGGATGGTTTTTTGAATTCATATTTGCTTACTTTCAATCTCTGTAGTGATTAATGAGTGTTCAAGAGAAAAATGTAGCGGTAGTTTTGGGCTAGATGTTATATCTCGATAAGAATATATACATACATATTTGATGAAATTTTTAAGTATAAATAATAGTCATCATTGTTCTTCCTCTTCTTCTGCCATTCATCCAATAGTGAGCATGAATTTAAGTAAATGAGCTGTTAGCTATATATTTTTCTAACACCAAGGGTTCGTGACATCTGGTCCCTGCAATACATTGTTATCGTTCTGACAAAATAGATTTTGTACGTTATGTGGAAAACATGAGTTATATTTATGTTGGAGTAATTGAGTACTATCCCGACCATTGTTGCTACCTTGACGTGGTGATCGGGCTTGTCTATCGTGATGAATCAATCGAGTTATACTGGCTGGAACAACCGTTCCTCAAGGTCCTACCGTGTCAGTCAGGTCGGTGGAAGAGCGGTAAGACTAAAAGCAACAAATTCAAGGTTCAAGGGAGAAGTCGTACTGCTGACTGTACAGAGGTGTAACGGCAGTAAGGTGTTTCCTTCGAACAACCAGCATGACAGCGATGCTGCCTTTCCACAATTAAGGATGGGGTTAGAAAAGGTTAACCTTAAACATGCACACCTCGCCTTATCCCTCGGATATCAGTCCGGCGATAAGGTCTCAACAAGTACGGAGCTGACAAAAAAATTACTCATAAAAAGGTCGTGTGTGGCCAACCTCAAGCAGTTGTCCCTTGGGCACTGCGGTCGCGCTCTCAAGTCACTTCTAATCCAATTTCCTTTTCAAGTACCTCGAAAGTGAAATGTCTGGCGGAAAGAGAACGAGGTTAGAGAATCATTGGTGTGGAAATGAAAGGATAGTGAATTCTGAGACGATCAATTGACATTTTGCAAATGAAGTATTTACTGTATCGTGCTCAGATTGTACTCTGTTGTTTTGTAATTTTGTGTTTAAATACATTCGATTGTCCCCACTTGTGTCCTCATTCACTAAAATATTACAGTGGAAGACATGAAGCGTGTATCGTACTGATAATAAAGCTAGTCATTGAATGTTATACTGAATTCGCCACCGTATCCGAACTAGTTTAATACGATAGTTCCAATGAATAATTAAGTGTTTTTATAGTGAACAAGAACACGAGTGACGGCAATCAAATGTATTTGAGTACAAAATTACAGAATATCTCACTAAAATCTGAAAACTATATAGGAAATAGTTAATTTGAAAAATATCAATCCATCATCTTAAACTTCACTGTTCCTTTTGCAAATGTCAATCCATCGTCTCAGATTTTACTGTTCGTGTATTCTCATACCAATTGCTATCTGTTCCCGTTGTTTCCTTCTCGATCTTCTATTGAACTACATTCTGTTCCTGTCCATCGTCATATACTACTTATGTGGGTATAAATAGCTCACACCACAGTTTTATTGAGATTAAATTCTACAATCATTTCAATGTTACCTTGATATCTTAGCCATTCGTATTAATTCACAACTATGT